GTCTGACTTCCTAAACTGCCTAAAAAAGCAATGTTTACGGCAAACTTGCACTATGCTATGGATGTCCTTTCACCAGACATCGGAATAGGTTACACTCTTTATGAGCGCCCGGCTAGGGCAGCGCAAGCACATCTGCAGACGACACTGCTCTCATGTTCCCTCTCACAGGGGACAAAGGGGGCCCAGTGCACGCAGAAAGGCCCTTGAGCAAAGTCAGCAATTGTGTAAGCAGACTGGCATTTACAGATATCAGAAGCAGTAGTCATAGCATCTCCTGACAGATGAGCTTAAAATCAAGTGCTTTGCTCTCCATTCTATCTATATATAATTTTTTGACAAAGTATTAAAGTTTTGGAGCATAGATAAAATTATGCCCTATATGAAATTCCCAAACAATATTTTATGAGAGATCTAACTCCAAATAGCTTACCTGCCCCATAGTTCAGTTTTTCTTTATCCACTTGAACTCGTTTCTTCCTAAGGCTTCACTTACAATTGTACTTTCTAAAGCTAAATAAACGAGATCTTTTGTTCTGTTTGGGGAGAAAAAAAAAAAAAAAAGAAAGAAATGTAACCCTTTCTTTATCATACCTTTTAAAGGCAATCTAGGTACTTTCAATGTGCAGAGATCAGTTACAACATAGGTCTACAGGCCCATGTATTTGTCCTCCTTTTCTAGAGTCATGATGTGATGCTAGAAAAGTTGATTTTTTTTCTGTAAACAGTACACTTACTTAGATGGCAGTGAATATTTGGGAATAAATATATCAAGCCCTCTTGAAGAAAATTAAGAGTTGTATATAAAATGCAAGTGTTCAGCGTGGAAACACTTTCTCTTCCTACCCCCCCCTTTAAAAAACAGCATAATTAGACATTTGGATATAGAGTATATTTTACCGGTCTAAGTCTAAATAAATGATCTGAAAGGCTTTTGTCCCCCATTGTATATCTTACAATGCTCAAAGGGTTAATACAAGGCATTACATCAAAGGGGTTTTCTAATACTAGAACTAAGCACTGAATTAATGCTTCTATTCCAGTTTTTAAAAAATCACCGAAGTTGCAGAAATACTAGGATTCCATTAATTGATTTGTTCTAACCATACACATGGAGGTTGATCTGATCTAGTGACAAGCCTAATTTTCAATAGCACTGCATGTCAACCCCTCTCCCCCATGTTCTGGTGTGATTCATACAAATCACAAGTTCTAACTTCAATTTTTTGATGATTGCTCTTTTCTCACCAAGAATTTGGGGGAGGGGAGGTTATAACAAAGGTCAATTTGTTGTATATAACCACTGCCTCAAATTGCACACAAAGGTGACTTGCCAGTTTTTTACTTTCTACTTGTGTCCACACAGGGAGGACCAACATCACAGTGACCCACATTTTTTTCTTTTACACTAATATTTCAAGCACAGCATTATTTTAGATGTTTCAAATATATCATCTGAAGAATTTTTCAAATTTGAAAAGGCATCACGTTTAGCACTTCTAGAGAGTGCGTTCACGTAAAAAGGTTGATGGTTACGGTAATGAAACCGTATTCAGTCCTGAATGACTTTAACAGCATTCTACAAGAACGTGTTCCTTTTCACTCGTCTACTACAAATCAAAGGCAGTCAATGTTGCACACTACTAATTTTAGGTATGCAGTGTTAAAAATCATTTTCTAAAATTTACTTTTGTTTTTCAAGTACACCACCTAAAGAGAGGTGCATGAACCGTGCTATACAGTACGAGAAAAAGCACAAAAAGGAAAGCAGATTTCTGTAAAGGCAGTAAGACTTATACAGTCAGTCCAAGCGTAGTTTGGATGAGAATCCTGAAAAAGTGACCAGCCACTTGATATCCAAAGAAAAAATTTAAAGTTGGGCCCTGTGTTCCAAGGAGATGGTTCAGCCATTTCACCCCATTGTTCACTGGCTTTGTGAATGCCAATCTTTTGGGTATGATTCTCAAAGTGTATGTGAAGATCAAACTATACCCATGATACTCAATCCTATTACACAGAAATATCTTTCTTGAAACTTAAAAGTAGCCAACATGCCTTCCTCACATTTTTCCTCACTGAAAGCATAGCACTAGGTCTACATAGATATTTTTCATGACTAGTGTTTAATTACAGTGTCAAGAAATATTAAGAAGTCCTTAAAATGTGTACTTGCCACTTGTCAATAAATCTACTCTGAGAATGTTAGTGTCATAATATTATTTAGAAAAGTCAGTTTCAGTGAACAGAAAAAATGAAAATAAAATGTTCAATACATGTTTGCTCCAAGTTGCTCAATTGTATAAATTATGATGTTTTTATTTTCTAATATACTTCACAATTTAAATTTGAAATTGCTTAAGATGTGTGTGTGTGTGTGTGAGATCTTGTATATATGTGTGTGTGTGTGTGTGTGTGCGTCTTACTGTGGATTACAGATAACTGGAAATAGCAGAGATCATAGATGTTATTTTGTCTATTGATCAGAACTACCTACCCTAGTCACAAAGAATTAATGTTCCTAACTGTGCTCATGAAAGACATTAGAATATTTTTAGTGAGACAAGTTAATAATATTTAATTCCTCTAATCTGTCCTAATTTAGAACAAACCATGAACAATTGGAAGAAATGTTGAATCCTGTAGGGTGCCCAATCCCTAACTTTCATCAATCTAAATTTGCCATTATCAGATTCCTCTAATGAGACAAATATATCCAACATTAAATTAAACAATGATAATAAATACATTTAAAATCATTCAATAAACAAGATGAAACCAGTAAATACATTTGGTCCAACACAGATATAATAAAGTTCTGGGGGTTGTGAATGGGGAAGTGAAAAAATTCAGAAAGGAGCATCAAAATGAAGAATTTTTTTCCTTTTTAGATTTTAATTTTACCTGTAAACCTTTCCTAATGCACGATGAAGTAGGTACACAGTCTTTGCAGCTTTAAGGTGTGTGTTTGCGTTTGTGTGTGTGATAGTGCAAATTCATTGCCTTTAGGGGAGGAAAAAGGGGAATGATCATTTAAATGACATTTAAATGAAGGTGATGCTAGGATGCTAGTGAAGACTTTCAAACATGTGAGTGAGTTGTATGATACAAAATTTGAATCGATTTTAAAAATTATATCTGAATGATTTAAAGTTTACTTAAGAAGCTTTGTTGATCTTAGTTATTTGAGTAGTCTAAGGCAATCAAGTAACAACAGTTGAAATGTACTGCATGTTACCCAATAAGCCATTTGGTATTTTCAACTGTACAGACTGGCTCACCCTCTCCTTTCCACCCCCCGCCCCTGCCCTCCCCACCCTAATAAAACTGGAAAGATAAACGTCTTGAGTGTAATATAGGCCTCATTAACAATCTGTAAATCATTTTGTGCTTTCCCTTTTTTTGGCTCTATGTATTTGTGTATTATTTATTTTTGCTAATTAGCTTTTTTAGAACTATTTAAATAAATGGATGTGCCTGTTTTTGTTGTTGTTGGTTAATAATTTGAGAGCTTAAAAGAACCTTGCTTTTCACGTAAATTAAAGTAGGGATGGGTGTTATCCTCTCTGGGATCTCACCTTCTGACTTGGTAGCTGACTCCTGCCCACGGACACTCGCGCGTGCATGTGGGCACACAGACACTGAGACACACAGAGAAACATTTAGACTGAAAAGATGCACTTCAATAAGTACCTGCTTATTGTGTTAATTTTCTTAAGTTATAACTAGATAAGAATGGTCTAAAATATATATGATTTTCTGTAACAAAGTTGGTAATTAAAACTAGCCTGCTATTTCACAATAGCAATCTGATCCTTAATCCTTAAGCAATGTGATTTGTAATCAAGTAATATTCAGCTCTAGGAACAAAAATAAATTCACGGTCACTCAAAGAGGGGAAGTGATTTTTGTCTTTTCATTTTGCTTTGTTTGCCCTAAATTTCCTTTGAAGAACATGTTACCTGTCCTTACTTCGGGAATCTGGAAATGACAGGCACACCTTGTCAAATGGATTGAAGAGGAATTCACATGAACAAAATAAGCCTTACTAAACCTTAGCTTCAGTTCTGTTTTAAGGCACCATGTAATAGCCGAGGTACGATGATCCCTGATGTACATTCTTCAACGGCACTGGTCCATCCAGCCACCTATCCAAATCCTACAGAATTGGGGATAAGCAACAGTGCGGTGTGCCAGTTACACTGCCTTCAGGTTCTGTTTAAAATTTAAATCCACATACTTTAGAAACCAGGAAATATTTTTGAAGGAAATAACGATATGCAGGTTGCTACATTCCTTGCATTCCATAAATTTTCTTTTATAATAGCAGCATATTGAACTACTATTAGGAAAAAGACCTGGAATAAAAGAAAGTCATTCAAATGGAATGGTTTCCTGTATGTCCAGCTCAGCATAAGTAGCATGTACACTTAAAAAAAAAAAAAGTCAAGTCATTTTTTTCAGCTTCAGTATCTAACTATAACAGCCCCACTCAACAGCAGAATGCATCTGTGCAGTGGTCCCAAATACAGAATCAGTAGTCTTTAAACAGAGGAATTGGTATGCAAATAACAGTTAAAATTCAATGTTTAACGGAAGCTTGCATTAACATGGTTTAATAATTATGTACACAAATTATGTACATATTAGCATAATCTCTTGCAATTCTGTCATTTACTCTGAACTGATAAATGCACAGCTCAACTTTTCTTCAGAGAAAAATAGATGACCTTCCCAACCCTCTAGCACTATAATAAAAATGCTCTGTATTCTCTCTCCATACTCCAAAATGTTATGAAAATAGTGTCTTATGGTTCTGTCCAATGAAAAGCACCTTTCAAAAGCAAATTTGATGCATCTGCTGCCAAATGGGCATGCCTCCAGTGTAAATCAAAGAAAATCATTTCTTTTGATATTTCACAGAAGTGCATCTAATTAAAAACTTACACATGAAATCATACACCAAGACTAACAATCAACAATAAAATATTTTAAGCTACAAAAAATGTAAATTATTTTTTAATTATAAGAAAACAAAAACATTGACATTAAGTGTTGTAAAAATCCTTCTTGACACCCAAAACTAAGGGAAAAAAACCTCATTATTAAGAAGCAAATAATTTGTTTACATTAAAAAAAAAAAAAAGACCTGGCAAAATACATACACCCATTCCATTTCACAACTCCAAAAAGGTAATGTTCAGCACAGAGAATTTGACAACCGTTGACCTTCAGGCTTATTAAAATTTCAACTTAAGCCCAATATCAACAGGGTTAATGTTAGCTGGAAAAATACGTTCTAATATTCTTTAGACTGCAGTGTAGGTATTTCCTGTAGCGCTGCACTGTCTGATAGTCTGAGTACTCGTGACGATGTGCTCGCTGTGAATTGGATTCAGGAGGCTTGGCTGCACGCCACTCTCGAGAACAGGCTGCATACAGCCTACCGGAAATGCCTGGTTCAGCTCGGTTTTCTCTCTTTTGGCTTGAGGTTCTGAAGAGTCATCTAATTCCTCATCCATTTCACTCTCCACTTCACTGCCTTCATCTGCACAAACAAATAATACCAAGACTATTACCAGAAGACAAACTGGGAAAGAGCAATCAACAAATGCTTTAGGAACACTTTAATATAGTACCTTGAGAAAGCAACTCCTTAGCCCTTCTTGGGGGACAAAGCTTGTGGGTTTTCCTTTCAACAGATTTTTCCTGTGTCAGTGCTCTATTCTTTTAAACACAGCAAAGGTAATTTATTCTTGGGTTTGCGACTGATATCTTTAATAGGTCTTTTAAGAAGACCTCTGGAGTTCCCTGAAGTTTTTACATTAACTAGTGGCATAATTTGTGTCATTATAAAGTAGTCACTTGGGTTCACTACGCTGGCTTTGGGGAATGTATTGCGCTGAAAAATGCTAACTATGAAGAAAACAAAAGGAAGAAAGAAGGAAAAAAATTTGTTTTTCCTCTGAAAATCTACATCTGATATAAATTTTATCTGTGCTGATGTTAATGTAGGTGAGACCTACGTTGAGTCACAAAATAACTATAGCATGCATAAGCAGGGGCTGCTCACAGACTTTCTGTGCACATGAATGTTGTAGATCACAATATTAATTAGACCCTTAACTTTTATTACAAAATGAAGACTGAGGCAGTAGTATCAGATTAAAAATGCACAGTGAACTTCCATTCCTAGCAACACTGATACTCTCTGTTAACAGCTAGTATACATTTCTGGAAATTAGGTGTATAAATAGTCACTGTTACTTCCAAATTTTAATACATTTTATATTAACTAAAACATCATTATAATGGAATACTATTTAATTTTTTCCAGCATGCACTGTTAAAATTCAAAAGCACAGCATAGAGAGAAAATGCTCTCACACAGCTTTACTACTGTGTAAGATTCTCCTCAGAGGAGTGGAGAGAATATCTCTTCATAAGCGCTAATTTTTAAACAGCTAGGGATATATTTCTGCCTCAAAAATCTTTTCACTGGGAATTCCCTGGCAGTCCAGTGGTTAGGACTCTGTGCTTTCACTGTTGGGCCTGGTTTCGATCCCTGGTCGGGGAACTAAGATCCCACAAGCCACGTGGCACAGGAAAAAAAAAAAAAAAAAAAGTCTTTTTACTTCATCCTCGACATGTTTTATTGTTTACCAAAAAAGCCTCCACACATAATTACACCAAAACCTCATCTATAAATGAAAGATATCTATACTTATTCTTATATTTTTGACTTATTATGGTGACTTTTGTATTAACAGAATCAGATTCCATTATATTTTATGGCATGTCACATGCAAAGAGTGTGTAACAAGTTACTGCAATGTCAGCTGGACTCTAAGAGGTGTTGAGTCTAGTTTTACCATTTGGGGCACACCTGCAGCAGTTCTGCTAATACAGTTCTCGGCGTAAATGGGCTCCCTGACGTTGCTTCTCTTATTATCAATTGGTGCAAAGATGGTTCCAGAGACAAGTGGTGAGGAATAATAGGGCCTCCATGTAAGGTGCAGGCTGTACAGCTGTGCAGCTGCCAGGAGCAACGTCTTCTGGGAAGGTTGTGTGATTAAAAAGATTGAGATTAGATGTACTGACTAGAAATGGTGCCTGTGATGCACTGAACGATAAACAGAGAAGTTCTCTGGGACGAGGTAAGCTGTCTTGGCCACCTGCTTTATCCGGTTACCGTTCGCCTCTGGTAAAGGACTTGAGGATAGCATTACAGTTTGTCCGAACAAGCACATTCGAAGGGCTGGTGAGCTGCCGGAAAGGGCTATGTTTGGTAGACATTTGCTTCATTAAGAGGATATAATCAAAATATGCTTGTATGACACTTTTGCATTTTTTTTTTGTATTTGTTTTCATATGAACAAACAAAAGGTCTGGAAGGATCCTCACACTAAATTCTTAATGGTGGTAGTCTCTTTGGCTTTTGACTATGAAGTTTTTACTTTCTGTAATTTCTAATTCTCTGCATTATTTGAAATCTTTATACATAACTGATGTTACTTTTATTATCCAGAAAAAAATCAAATTCTCATTTTGTGGAAAAAGCCCCCCAAAATTTCTTAAAGATTTCACATTCAAACCGTAGGTTCTGAATATGCTAGTTTGGTTAATTCTCAAGAAGCATCCAGTCTAGAGGTGAATGGGACCAGCAGAGCCACCCGAGGAAGGTGAGGGCAAGTCACACTGCTCCTTGGCTCCCTCTCCACCAACTTTTCTGTGACTGAGAAATAGTGTCAAAGTAATAAAAGAGGCAGCAGTAAAAGAAAAACAAAAATCATTTCAAGCAGGCAGGCAAGTGGAGAGAGAGTGGGATGTCCTTTCATCTACCCTGCTGTGGACGGAAAAGGCAATGGGGAGATGAACAGAACAAACTCCAGTGCTCCAGGCCACGCTGCTTCAGGTCCACTTGTGAGTGACAGGGTTCCTTTGGATAGGCTACAAAGCAATCACAAAAGCAAGCCCTTTCTCTAGTTCCCACAGACATTTTATGCTCCTATAGAGACTCAAAAGACATTTCCTGGGAACCTACTTGAAGTTATGGGAATTTGGTACACAAAAACTAAAACTAGGTGCTGCTGGCGTTTACCAAAGACTTTGGTTCAATGCTTGACAAGGAAGACTGGCTGCCATTCAGTGTTTGGCCCAGGAGCAACATTCCTACTACACCTCCGGACACCCTGGGATGAAATCCCCAAATTTGAATTATGAGGCTTTGGTGTCAGTGCATCATCGGGGTTGCCTTATATGTTGGGCCTGCATTTCAACAGCCACTTTTCCTGCTCTGAATTTACAAACTGGCCTCATCATTGATTTGCCTCTCTGATGTTTCTTTGGTTAATCCTATAGAGTATATATTTGCAACAATGATGTTTTGGGGCTATCATTCTCTACTTTTCCTGTTTTGCTATTATGCATGTTGCTAAAACAGGAATTAACGCGTACACAGTTGATAAATAGTGATAAGAGTTTAAAGTGGGAGTGATGTTGATTCACACAGGACTTTCCCCGGCATGTGAATGTCTTCCATCACCAAGGAGGCACGGAAGCTGAACACGGAGTACCCTAGTACAGGACGCTACAGAGAAAGTGTGGCACCTTGTGTGCGGATTCCCCACATGCTTCCTCATGCCTCAGTTTCCCCACTGGCTCTGGCTCTGTCCTGGAAGGGATAATGGTGTAGTTCTCCCCAGTCTATGGACACTTTGTCCCTGACTCCAAAACTCAATTCCTTAAAACCTCAAGAAATCTTCACTTTTCTTGTTTTTTGAAGAAAGGTGTATATTTTCTGCAGTGCTTATTTATTAGAAATGTTACATTAAAAAAAAAAACAACAACTGAGCTGGTATTTTTTTCAGAATTGTTTTTCTTTGTGTGCACTCTATTCCAACCTCATTTTCCTTCGAGCCCTGTTCCTTTTACTCTGTGGTTTTATAGGTCGTAAGTTTCTTCAGAATTATATATTGTGTTGTCACATTAGAGTGGCAATGCTGATATGAAAATTTAAGAAGTATATATGTTATCCTTTTCATCTACCCCAATACTGATCTTGCTTTTATAGTAAACTTCATTGTTATCTCTGAGTTCTTTCTCCACTGAAAAGTGTGAATTGGTGACTTGAGTACGCTGAGGAATCTTTTTCTTGCCGGGTGGGCCTTAAATAAAAATATTTGACCCAATTTTATCACTTTTTTCAGGACTCTGGCGAAAGCCAGAAGTAATTTCTGGTTACTTGTACTTAATTGCAGGCAAAAAAAATCAAGAAGAGTTTAAACTGTATTTAAATTCAATTCTTGCACTTAATATATGTAACATAAAGCACAGAAATGGAGAAATAAAAAAGATTCCAAAAGACTTAACTGTCATATTCATCAAGGATTGTATGCCATTTCCACAAAATAAAAGTGCTATACACATATACATTTTCCTCTATGAGAATTTCTTACTCAAAAAAAGTCCTTAAAAATGTACATTATTTTCAATTCTTACCTTTATCCAGATTTCCAGGAGACACAGCATTTAAATCACCAAACTGCAAAACAACAGTCATTTGTGCAACAGTTACTACCAAGCAGAATAAAATAATATTCTCAGAGACTGCAGTAAAAATACCACACTACGACTTTTTAAAACTGTAAACTAGCGACCATTTTGATCTCTAACTACACAGGTCACCTAATTTTCCAATCAAACCTGTCAAAATTGAACAGTTTACACTGTGTCACAATTTAGCTGTCTTAGCCTCTTTGCAAAAGGATAACAATTTTCTGTCTTCCATGCTCCATTTTACTTTTTATTATTTGAACTCAGCAGTGAAGCAATAGGGGCCTGGCTGACCTGGATGAAGATGGATGTGGTAGAATAAATTTGGAAAAGCTCTGACGAAGCAGAAAGCATCAGCTCCACCCCCATTAACTGTCCGTGAGTCCACCCGGAGTCTACACTATAGAAACATAGTCCAGCCACTTGGTTGAACTCTGTTTTTTTGAGTTTTTATTTGTAGAAATGAAAAACATAATAGGAGCCCCAACACTGAGAGTATTTATGTTTACAAAATCTTTGAGACTTCTCTTCTTGTAATTGATCTTCTTATTTACTAAGATAACAGGGTCCCAAATTAAAAAAGAAATGCATCTGATTATTAATGCAACAAAAAAGGTATTAAAACAATATGGAACAATTAATAACCTTCAGCTTAGACTTTACTTGCTACCTTAGTTCAAAAGCTTGATAATATTTTTACAGTGAAAAAATATATTTTAAGAGTCTCAGGGTGAACATAAATAAAAAATTGAAGAGCAGAGGTAACGAAGCTAATTGGAAAAAGGTGAAGTGAAACCTCATAGCACCTGCTTTTTAAATGGTAAACATTACTTTTTTTTTAAAGCTGAAGATTCAGAATAAGTCATTATTAGAAATTCGGGTTTCTCAAAAAGCTCAGAAAGGGTGAGAGAGAAATTCTACTTACATTCGGAAGTTTGCTTATAAAGAGTTCCATGATAGGAGTATTTTTTTCATCTACAACATATGTCTATAAAGTAATAAAACTGATCTTATTTTGCAAACATACACACACATAATTTCTTTTTTTATCTAAACATGAGCTGTTCTTCATAGTAGCTACCTTGGGAGCGTATACATTTATTCCAAGGTTCAAGATTCTGGAATTCCTCTTTGACAACCAATTTCAAGAGTTAGTTTATGTATCATTCAAGAAAGCCCATCTTGTTGTTTTACATCAAACTGTGACTCCAAACACTCCACATTTTATTCATTGTACTTGGTCCTGAGATGATTTCTGATTACTTACCAAATTTAAATGCATCTCTGCCACAATTCAGGATATTTAAAATAATGTGTCATTTTACTCTTTATTATTTCTTAGCAGTTCAGAGGCAGTTTAAAAAGAGGCATTCCACATCACTTTAAGCCATGGCAGTATTACTGAACCAATGTGTAGCCTCCCGGGGTGACTGCCTTGAAGGGGACAAGGGCCTCCTGGTTGCACAACTCTTAGTATATCTGTTTGAAGGACCGCCCCATTGCGTTATAGTTACGTCCCATGGGCAGCAAATATAAAATCATAAATACTGAACTGTTGCTTTGAAGTTGTTCCTGTTCACATGGCTCAGAACCTTATGTTAGTCTAAATAAAAACCACAGTTTAAATTGTACAGGATTTCTTGAATTAAAGAATATAATAAAAGCACCAAAAAACACAACAGGATTCTTTACCTATTTTTGGTATTATTTAAATTTTTAGAACTATAAACAGAGAATGCCCAAAGCTGAAGGGTCACTTATATGTTATTTCTAGTTGACACACAGAGGAAGATTTTTATTTCTTTTAAATGACTACTTAACAACACTTAGGACCCAATACTGGAAATGAGTTGGCAGTGATGAGTCTAAACATACTTCCACATCTATAAAAAGTGAATACACCATTTGTTTTTGATAAATCTTGAAAAGTTGTTTGAGACTAAATTATTACTGCCATCGGTGATCAATAATATCATGCAAAGTGGCTAAAACCAAACTTTGAACACATACGGAAATTTTTCTTCGAAAGAAACACTGCTTTTAGTTGCTACTTAACTGAAAATATGACAACGTGATAGAAAGATTTTCCTTTGAAAATTTCTGCTTAATCTGAATGAATACATCTGATTACTCAGGATGATGAAAATAAAAACCAAAAACAATCGAAATCTCTGTAATCATTATTAGCATTAGCAAATAAACATTTGCATACTCAATGCTGAGGGCTTGTGACCATGCACTGTGAGGGACACTGTGGAAAAAAAGAAAAAAAAAAAATCTTCACGATACTGCCAATGCCTGTAGTTGTCTCTGGGATTAATGACAAAGTTCCATATGTACAACATACAGTAGATTTAAAATAAAAATCTTGTGAATAAGAGGTTTTGATATTCCTGTATAGTGGAAGGTGAAGGTTTTTATGTGCACTTTATGTGTGAGGAAAGAATATACATTTGAGGACTTCCCTGGTGGCGCAGTGGTTAAGAACCCGCCTGCCAATGTAGGGTACACGGGTTCAAGCCCTGGTCCGGGAAGATCCCACATGCCGCGGAGCAACTAAGCCCGTGAGCCACAACTACTGAGCCTGCACTCTGAAGTCCGCAAGCCACAACTCCTGAAGCCCACGCACCTGGAGCCCGTGCTCCGTAACAAGAGAAGCCACCGCAGTGAGAGGCCCGCATACCGCAACAAAGAGTAGCCCCCGCTCGCCGCAACTAGAGAAAGCCCGCGCGCAGCAACGAAGACCCAACGCAGCCAAGAAAAAAAAAGAATATACATGTGATTAAGGAAAAAAAACACCTTAATCCTACAGATAGAGTAGGTAAGATAAGGACAATCAGTTCGTTCATTCAGTATTCAAAAAATATTTATTGAGAGCTTATTATGTGCTAGGCACTCTGCCAGCCAAGTTCCAGTCAGATTAATTTGGAAATATTCCCTCTTTCTGAAGGTATCAGAAGTTGTTTACATTAAAAAGGACAGGTAGTTTAGCCAAAAACCAACGCAGCCTGGGAAACCTTCAAGAAGGTTTTAAAACCACAGGGTTATTAGAAAGGGAGTTTGGAGGGAGCAGCAAGTCAAAGTAGCAGGAAGGGAGGAAGGAAGGGAAGGGAGGCAGGGAAGACTGAGAGCGGGCATAAGGACGGCGGCATCACAGACAGGAGAGAGACGACAGGGACGTAAATGAGGCCAGGACACGCTAGCAACAGAAGAGGAGGAGGAGAGACATGATTTGGATTAAAAAAATGGAGGTTGGGGCTTCCCTGGTGGCGCAGTGGTTGAGAGTCCGCCTGCTGATGCAGGGGACACGGGTTCGTGCTCCGGTCTGGGAAGATCCCACATGCCGCGGAGCGGCTGGGCCCGTGAGCCATGGCCGCTGAGCCTGCGTGTCCGGAGCCTGTGCTCCGCAACGGGAAAGGCCACAGCAGTGAGAGGCCCGCGTAGCACAAAAAAAAAAAAAAAAAAAAAAGTAGAGGTTGGCAAGGAAGTCCAGAGATTACTGAAAAGTTATAGCTTCAGAAACTGAAAAACTCTTACTGCTTTCTAATTTCCCCTGCTGCACAGGGGACTGGAGGGGACTACTATTCACTAAGGTGACGTCTGACAGCTTATAAAGTACTTTCATGGTTCAGCATATAGTTGGCTTCCTCTCAAATATGATGACCTCAAGTATCACTTTCTCAATATCACTTCTTCAGAGAGGCTTTTCCTCACAGCCCTACTTAAGCGTCTCCTTCCCTGTCACTGTTCATCAGCACCTCACAAAAAACTTACGAATCTGGCTATAGGTAAGGAGCTTAGATTCAATCCTGCAGCTACTGAAAACACGTTCATCTGTCTAGCATTGTAAGGAAATATGGTGGTGTTAGATTTGAGACCAGATATTCTGACCATCAGTTTAGGAAGGGAGGGAGTAAGGGAGTGGGAGGGAGAGGGAGAGAGAGAGAGAAAGTATGTATGTTTCCTACATGGCAGAAAGAATATAAATTAAGGGATTTAAAGTGTGCTCTGGGTAGAAAGCATATGGCCTTTGATGTACATAGGAGTTAAAGTTCTGTCAGCCAGATAGATAAATAGGGAACGTTCTGAAGTAGAAACAGAATGGAACATAGAGAAAGCATAGCTGTTGTTTTTAGGAAGAAAGACCTCCTTGCCTAGAAACCATTTCTCCAGGCCCTGACAACCGGTCATAATAATGAGCATGCTCCTGGACAGCAGCAGACTAAAAAATGTGTGGTCAAGGCAGGCAGTGGGAGTCTGTTAGACCATAAATTCATGACGAGTAGTAATGGCCAGGAAGTATAAATGGGAGACTGGTCAGCACAGCCTATGTGACTATTGGCAGCATCCTTGAGAGCAACCCTGAGTATGACCCTGACTTGTGGCCAAGCAGCTGAGAAGTAGTTCATCACAGGACTGTGAGGCCTAAGCACAGGCACCATGAGAGAAATCAGGCTCAGCCCACAGGTATACTGCAGAGACCATTGCAGGTTAGATCCAGCAGCAGTGAACTTTCCACAATAAGGGAGGCAAGCCTTGTATTGTAATAGCTGGAAAGTGAAACAATGCAGAGGAAGCCAGGGGGCTCAGACAGCAAACTGGTGAGGATCCACGGGGGCCCACAAAACAGAGACTGGGGATAGAAGGAAGGAGTTCAAGGACTGGGATGAAGACCTCACCCGTGGGGATGCTTTCCCTGCTGGAAGAGTTTACCCCATCCTGGGGAGGAAGGTTAGTGAGTAATCATAACCACATCATCTGGGCAGCCAGGTAAACATCCTCCATAGAAACCACATCTTACCACAAAATCTCTCTGCTGGTATGCCCAGATTTATAGATTTACAGGCAGACAGATACAATCTCTCTCTCTCTCTCTCTCTCTCTCTCTCTCTCTCTCTCTCACACACACACACACACACACACACACACACACAATGTATAACTGATTTACATGCTGGCACCAAAATATGAAAGTGTATGGTCTAGAAC